CCAATTATGCATTGGCTGTTCTTTAACTCGTGATTGATTCATTAGGAGTTCTTTCAGCCTATTCACTTCTGCCATTCTCTTTACGATCTCAACTGAAAAACAGAAAAGGTTGAGTACTATAGTGGTATAAACAAAACAGACACAAAATCGAAAGAGAGAGGTAACCTTCTTTAAGTATTCTATGCTTTTCAAGAGCAGCCATTCGGAATTTTACTTGATGGTGCTCAAACATGTTAAGTAAACGTTAAATGTTACTTTAATGTGTTTAAAGTTGTCAGTTATGGATAGTTTATGAGTCATAAGGTTAACATTTATCTTAGGAGTTTTGGTTTGAATTTGTCGGTTATGGAGTTTATGAGTCATGAGGGTTAGCATTAAGTTTAGGAGTTTTGAAAGATTAAGAGTCAGTCGTTATGTTTTGTTATTAAGTTAGGTTTTAATTGTGGTTTATGGCTATTTAGTGTTGCAGTTTTAGAAAGGCAAACTATAGCCTATAAATAGTCTAGTATATTGTTTGAGAAATATAGAATTGAGAAGCAACGAAGTTTAGTAAAATATTTCACAGAAGTTTGTTCTCTTTCTCCACAAGTCCTCACGACATTCTTGAATAGTTGTTTTATTTGTTGATTTTGTATTTGAGCGATCCTACAAAACAGCAATGACCTGTGTATAATCTTATTCTCTTCGATTTTTTGACAAATGTCTGACATTTCTGACTGCATAGGGAAACCTTTGTTGGGAATGGCTCATACTTCGCAGGTTGATGATGGCCCTAGTTGTCGGGGTCAGCAGAAAGGCAACGGGGATCTGGGGGAGCCGCCCAGACAGGGGTCCAGGGGGGCAGCGCCCCAGACCCGTAGAGGCTAGGTACTGTTGTGGGCCTCTGTTTTATTGTAATTTTCTTAGCAGTTTGGGTTTGGGCCCATGAATAACGAGTGGCGGTGACGTGAATATAGTACAGACAAGCTGAACGTAGTCTAAATTGAGTGAACCATAGTAAATCGCTGTGTCTATTCTCTCTCTTTTCTTTTTCGTTTTCGATTTGTGTGTGGTCGATTTCCAACAACCTTATGTTAGATACATTCATGAAAAAAAAAAAAAAATCATTGCATGTTTCACAATCACCCCGAGAGAATTTGTTAGCTTTTCCAAATTGGCAACTTTTATATTTTTCTTCGATCTGTATTTGCTTGAATAGCCTCGATTTGCAATCATCCTACACACAAAAGAAGATAAATGATTTGAACCAGAAAATTTTCAATGTAACATTATATATAAATAATATAATTTAATATACTTCTCAAGCCTATTAGGAACTGTCTCCTTTTCTGTGGCCAAATTGAGTTTGGCTAGTGTTGACATTAACACCAACACCAGGATTTGCAAAGCTACTACCATTGATGATATTTTTCTCAGCTTGATCAAGAGCAGGGTTTTCCACATTATTGTTATGGTTATTAGAAATGGCAAGGTTGAGATCAAGCTCTAGGTTAGTGTTCCCTTCAGCACCAACAATGTTTTTAGCAGAAGGGTTTTGCGACACTTTAAATGATGAACCAGCACTTCCAAACAGCTTAGTAGGAGCCATAAAAGAGAAGGGTTTCAGAACAGTGGTTTTCTCAGGGTATGATTGATTTTCCATTGAAGCATGGTAGATTTTCTTTTGCAGCTTCTCCCATTTTTCACAGTTCTTCTTTCTGTAGGCTGCAAAACAAGAAAAAAGCAAAAATTTAATTTAGATTTTCACATTACACATAGAACCTAATGAAGAAAATGAATTTGTATTCTTACATTAGAAAAAGGAATTTTTTTTATTTTTTATTTTTTGGTAAAAGAAATTTTTTTTTTCTCACACTAGTCCATGGGTAGTAGTTTCTTTATATATAAAATTCTAAAGGACTGAAAACTTAATCTGGTATACAATCATATTTATAGCATATTAAATTTTTATCTTTTTAAAGAAGATTTCCTATTTTGAATTTTATCAATAAAGTATGACATTTAAAAATAAAAACTGGATACCATGAATACAAACTAATTCCTGTATTAAATTTGTTTGAAAAACATGTTAATTTTGGTAGTTTGAATTGAACAATTGGTCAATAGAATTGCAGATTTGCTAGAAATATCAATACCATAATTATTTTAACTTTTCTGCTGGTATGCAGATCCCAAATTATAACCAATTAAGAAACTGAAATTAATAATACAAAAAAATTATATCTATCTTTGATTTCCTTGAATTTTATACCCAAGGAGGGAGTCCAAACCAGGCTATTCTTGCTATATATATTTTCGGAAATCATTCTTATGCTGCTTGGAAAATAAATTCTCTCCTACAAAAAATAATAATAATAACTATATACTAAGAGTAGTTTATGATTATAATATTAAAGTTATTTTTTTCTCTTTCCTCAAACATTGTCAGAGAGAAAAAATAATTTTACCATTATAACTATTTGTTTTTTGCAGGAAATAATTTTTTTCCAGCAAAACAACAAAAATAGAACCCATATATTATATATGGAAACCTCCTCATGAGACCAAATTCTCAGCCAAACTAGGACATGTATATGATTTCCTTTTAGGGTCCATTTTTATTAGGTAAGTCCCTTTATAAGGGAAATTTTATTTCCTCTCCTGCTAGTGTTTTCAAGAAAAAAATATTTTCTTTTTCTTTTTTCTTTTTTCTTTTTTATTTTTTTGTATTTTGAGAATAATAAACATTTTTGGTTGATGTATAAAAGAACTGTATTCTCATATAATAGCAAGACGAGACAGAAAAATCATGGAAGAAAAAGAGAAATTTGCAAGATGTACATATATATATAATAGCGCCTTAATTACTGTTATAGTATGCACATTAATTTTGTCATAGGTCTGACTTTTCTTAATGATTAATTAATTAATAAGTAAAAATTCATGAATGGTTTCATTAAATTTTCTAGACTTAAGTATGAATAATACACAATTTCACTCTAATTAATTGAGTTAATATTTCTTTTGTATAGAAAAATTAAGGTGTCAATGATCAAAGATCAAACTTACGATCAGTTAGTAATAAAAACTCTAATATCTTATCGATTCTCCTAAGAGCTTGATTGATTGGATTTTTTTAGTGTAAGACCTATATGTACCTTATGCATAAAGTTAATGTTGATTTGATTTAATTTATATAAGGCAAAAGGATAATTTGACTAATGGAAGAAAAGTTATTAAGGAATAAGTGTTGATAGGTGTCGTCATTAAAAAACATAAGAGTTCAGTTTTTATAAAAGATATAGAAAACTAAAAAACTTTCATGGTCTACCAATAAGAGTTATATCTCATCCCATTCAAAGAGCATACAAGAAAGTAAAGATTTAAGACTATTTCTGCCTTTAAAGGTGTTAATATATGCATGGATAACAATCCCATCCTTTCCGTTAGTTTGTTGCTGATAGTTAGCATATATTGTGTATTCTAGTATATTCGAGTAGCTTAGCTATCATGTATCTCATTTTCCAACTCTTCTGGCCACTGTTCTACTTCTTGCTCTTTGGTTATTTGGATGGAAAGATTTGATTTCTACTTACTCATGGATGCCTCTTGTGTTTGTGTCTAGTTCCACTTTTCATCTTGATGAAAGTACACATCCCTATTGATAATTATCTTCCTTATTTGAGGTTGATATACTTTGTTGGATTTAGAGGAAGAACTGTAGCCACCAATGATTCCTAATTTTGGCTTCTAGTCAAGTTTATCATGCTTTACCTGCCGAACATGAGAGAAACACATGCAACTGAACACTATAAGAAAATTAAGTGAAGGTTTATAGTCATATCATGCCCCAAATGGAATTTTTTTCCTCCAATGCCTTCTTGCAAGAAGACAACAGTGATTGCCACCTTAGCCCAAAAATTCTTTGCAACTCCTTTTCGTGAAGCATGCATCGAGTCATTTCCATTATATAACTGTTTCTTCGCTCACTTACTCCATTTTGCTGTGGATTGTTTGGAGCAGTGAGCTCGTGTTCATCCCAGATTCTTCGTAGAAAATGTTGAATTGTTCTGAAGTATATACTCATTTCTGTTGTCAGTCCTAATACATTGAATGTTACAACCACTCATTCTCCACCATTTTCTTGAACTTCCAAAACAAGCTAGTCACTTCAAATTTGTGCTTCATGAAAAAAAAATCCAACACATTCTAGTAAAATCAACTATGAAAATAATATAGTAACAACTACCCGTAAATGATTAAGTTCTTTAAGGACCAACAACATCTGAGTGGATAAATTGCAGCTTATGAGAGGCTCTGACTTGACTTAGGAAATGGATTTCTATTTTGTTTGCCAAGTTGCTAGGCATTACAATTTGGTAAATGATATGCAAAGGTTGTTAAATCAATTGGCGACTCCTTCTTCTTCATCAATAACATGTTTGAGAGGTGAAAATGACCTAGTCTCTATTGCCAAGTCTCAGTCACATTCTCCTCTGTAGAAACAAAAGTTTTCTCCTCCTTGATTGGTTCAAATGAGAAACTCTTCACTCTTATATTTACTTTGATGATTTCCTTTTCATTTGCATCTCGAATGAGCTAGCAAACCCTATTTTCAAAAAGCACTTTGAATCTTTTGTCATTGAGTTGGCCGACACTAAACAAATTTTGATGAAAATCAAATACAAAAAGAACATCTGAGATTGACTTTCTGCCTGAATTTGTTAGCATACAAACAATTCCCATCTTCAACAAAATGTGGTCACCATTATCGATTCTGACTTTTGCGATTGTTGTGGGTTTTAATTCCTTGAAAGGACTTCGATCATGAGTGATGTTGTTTGTACATCTAGTATCAATCATCCAACACACACTAGATTTGCTGCTAGAGAAGCAAGTGGCTACAACTTCTTCGTCAGTAACTTGAGCATCTTCTTCCTGCACTTGATTTTTATTTTTGTATATCACTACGTCACGCCCAAATTATCTTAAAATAGAATACTTATATGATTCTGATTTTTCATCGAATGACTATTCATCTATTGTATTTTGGTGTAAATATGGGAAAAAAGCTCTATGGAAAAATGGTGGTTCAATTCTATGTTGTTTAATAGAAAATTAGAATACAGGTGCGGGTTAAGTGAATCGGCGGATAGTTTTGGTCCTATTGAAAATACCAATCTAAGTGAACACCGAATTTTTACGGATACGGATAAAAGCGTTTATAGTTGGAATGAAAGTAACAACTATAGTTACAGTAATGTTGATTATTCAGTCGGCGTCCGGGACATCCGGAATTTCCTATCTGAAAAACATTTTTTGGTTAAGGATACTAAGAGGAATAGTTATTCCATATATTTTGATATTGAAAATAAAATTTTGGAAATTGACAATCATCATTCTTTTCTAAGTGAACCAGAAAGTTTGTTTTCTAGTTATAGTTATACGAATTCTAGCTATCTGAATAATATCTCTAAGAATGATGATGATCATTACATGTATGGGACTCAATCTAGTTGGAATAATAACATTAATAGTTGCATTGATAGTTATCTTCGTTCTCAAATCTTTATTGATAGTAACATTTTAGATGATAGTGTCAAATATAATGACAGTTACTTTTTTAGTAACATTTGTGGTAAGGGCAAAAATGGTAGTGAAAGCGAGAGTTCTAGTATAAAAAATCGCACAAACGACACAAATGATAGTGATTTCACTAGAAGAGAAAGTTCTAATGATCTCGATGAAAATCAAAAGTACAAGCATTTGTGGATAGAATGTGAAAATTGTTATGGATTAAATTATAAGAAATTGTTTCAATCCAAAATGAATATTTGTGAGCACTGTGGATATCATTTGAAAATGAACAGTTTAGATAGAATTGAACTTTCGATTGATCAGGGTACTTGGAATCCTATGTATGAAGACATGGTCTCTCTGGATCCCATTGAATTTCATTCAGAAGAAGAACCTTATAAAGATCGTATTGATTCTTATCAAAGAAAAACAGGATTAGCTGAGGCTGTTCAAACAGGTACAGGTCAACTAAACGGTATTCCTGTAGCAGTGGGGATTATGGATTTTCAATTTATGGGAGGTAGTATGGGATCCGTAGTAGGTGAGAAAATAACCCGTTTGATCGAATATGCTACCAATGAGCTTTTACCTCTTATTCTAGTATGTGCGTCCGGAGGAGCACGTATGCAAGAAGGAAGTTTGAGCTTGATGCAAATGGCTAAAATATCTTCGGCTTTATATGATTATCAAACAAATAAAAACTTATTCTATGTATCGATCCTGACATCTCCTACTACAGGAGGGGTGACAGCTAGTTTTGGCATGTTGGGGGATATCATTATTGCCGAACCAAACGCTTACATTGCATTTGCGGGTAAAAGAGTAATTGAACAAACGTTAAATAAGGCAGTACCCGAAGGTTCACAAGCAGCAGAATTTTTATTCCAAAAAGGCTTATTTGATTCAATCGTACCGCGTAATACTTTAAAGTGGGTTCTGAGTGAGTTATTTCAGCTCCACGCTTTCTTTCCTTCGATTCAAAATGAAAAATCAAGCATAGACTAAAATTATTTTTTTTTTCAAAAATAAATTATGAGACAAAAAGCAAATTAGAACACACAGGAGAATAGTAAGACGATAATACTCGAAGAGTACTAAGAATAAAAAAAAGGGTGTATTATCATACATATGCTTCTTGCAGAAATAGAAAGCGAAATCCATCCATTTATTTCATTCTACATTCCTTATATTATTGATTATTTGATTCTATTTATACTCTTGATTCTTTTCTTAATCTTTTTTTTTATTATACTTAGTATAATTATTCAATTTTACTAAGTATAAGTATATATGAATTCGATTGATTATAGATTATAGACTATCTTTATAAAAAACAGGAATAATCCAAAAATTAATAGAAAAAAAACAGGTACAAATATTAAATTGAGGTCCCCTTTCTATGATAAACCTACCCTCCATTTTGGTGCCTTTAGTGGGCCTAGTATTTCCGGCAATTGCAATGGCTTCCTTATTTCTTCATGTTCAAAAAAACAAGATTTTTTAGATACGGATAGTGGAGACAAATCTCGTATTTTTTTTTTTTAGATCTGGAAGCAGTTCTATGATTTCCTCCTAAAGGTTTACATCAAAATAATGCTAGTTGATGAAAGTTACTTCGGATCGGATAAGTAAAGTAAAATTCATTATGCTTGGGTTTTTTATTTCCCCTATTCCAATAAAGTAGAACTGGATCAAGTATGAGTTGGCGATCAGAACGTATATGGATAGAACTTATAACGGGGTCTCGAAAAACAAGCAATTTTTGCTGGGCCTTTATCCTTTTTGTAGGTTCATTGGGGTTCTTATTGGTTGGAGCTTCCAGTTATCTTGGTAAGAATTTGTTATTTTTATTTCCGTCTCAGGAAATTCTTTTTTTTCCACAAGGGATCGTGATGTCTTTCTATGGAATTGCGGGTCTCTTTATTAGTTCTTATTTGTGGTGTACAATTTCGTGGAATGTGGGTAGTGGTTATGATCGATTCGATAGAAAAGAGGGAATAGTGTGTATTTTTCGTTGGGGATTTCCTGGAAAAAGTCGTCGTATTTTTCTCCGATTCCTTATCAAAGATATTCAGTCCATCAGACTCGAAGTTAAGGAGGGTATTTCTACTCGCCGTGTCCTTTATATGGAAATCATAGGACAGGGAGCCATTCCCTTGGCTCGTATTGACGAGAATTTGACTCCGCGGGAAGTGGAACAAAAAGCTGCAGAATTAGCTTATTTTTTGCGTGTACCTATTGAAGTATTTTGAAAAAAAAAAAGAACGCTTTTTTAGGGAAAAACATTTTTTCGAAATTTTTGTATTTAAGGTTCTTTTTTTGTTCATTCGAATTGGGAGTGGATTCTTTCGCTTTCTTATTTTATTAGGTTTCTGTTTTCTTTCTAAATTAAAGATTATTATCATAAAGATTATTATCATATAGGGTTTGACGAAACGAATGAGGTGAAGCTGAGTTCATTAAAGATACAAAATGGCAAAAAAGAAAGCATTAATTCCCCTTCTATATATTACATCTATAGTCTTTTTGCCCTGGTGCATCTCTTTCATATTTACGAAAAGTCTGGAATCTTGGATTGTCAACTGGTGTAATTTTTTCCATTAATTTTACTAACTATAACCAAAAATTTCGTTTCTAATGAGTATTTCATTTATTCTCACTCTTCTCTAATTTCACTCCTGTTGTATGTATCATTTTTCTTTCCCTTCTCTAATTTTAAAAACTATCAAACAAGTTTTTTTAAAAAAAACTAATATTAAAGAAAAAGGGCATTTCAAGTTGATAAAAACCTTATGCGTTGTGTATGCTTGGTTTAAAACGATATTCTTACACTATAACTCTTGAAAGAGTGTCTCACCATTTATGAGTTATCATTGTCTTCACTTTATTAATAGGAGGATATATAGTTCCTCCATTCCAAAGTCACAATAGCTTATATTAAAATCAAATATTATTTACTAATAAAGGAGTATCAGCAAAAATTAAACCAAAGACTTATGAGTTGATGCAATTCAATCTTTTCAATTCAGTCCATTATTATTGGTGAGACACATGATCAATGATATATACTACATTTTAAAAATATTTCCCTATATCTTAAAATATATGAATCAGTGTTAGAATATAGCTCAATCATGTGTTGCAATATCCTTAGAAAAAAAATTAACCACTTAATAATTATATATCAAGATAGTAAAATAAAAATCTTTAAATGATGCAACATGTTCTCACTTTTTTGCAGCCGGATCTTGGGGTGCATCACCATCTTCACCAATAGTGATGGCATTGGCTGTCTCACTTTGAGGGCTAGCTCTTGGTTCGAGCGGTGCCAAATCTTTGCCATCATTCCTGGGAGAGGAACTTGAAGATCCTTCCATGATTTCTTGAAAGTTGAATAGCCCCCAAAAAAAAATAAGAAAACAAATACTAGATTAGCTCCTCGAACAAAACATTAAAGCAAGATTGTTATACACTACATTGATGATCTATATGTACTTACAATAATAAGAGGATATCAAAAATGGGGAAGACAATTTGCAAGTGAAAATTGTAGTCAAGATTTATAGATGATATCGCCCAGCGTTACCAAAGCAAAATTGCATGATCAAATATACATGCCGTAATTTAATTATAGTTTTCTGTGCAAGTAAGACTGAGAATACTAATATTTTAATTTGATGGACAATAAGTCCAATTTAGTCTGAAAATTTAACGCATTAATCCAGCTGTATGTTAAGTGGATCTAATGTTTTAACTCGTGCATCTTTACTCTAAGGACGGACCCACTTAAGAGAATTGTTAAGGTCGTATATGGAAGGTGGGGCGTATATGGAAGGTTATTTAATGTTTTACATGTGTAACTTGAGTGGTATCCTAAATGCGTTACAAGATTAAGGGAAATTTAAATTTCAAATGTGAAATTTCCGTCGGGATTGTTGAGTTTTTTAATTTCAAATTCAAATTTTTTAGAATTAAAAATAATTTAGAGTCGGATATTTTATATTTAAATTAAAAATCTAAATTATATTTCAATTTTATTGTTTGAACGTAAAATTTAGGATTTAGAAATAAAATTCATTACAAATTTCAACATCAAAAATTTATTTAATATACTAATAATTAACATTTTAAATACAATACTATCATAATTATATTTTTATTTTTGGTAGGGATACTATCATAATTATTATTATTGTAAAATAAAATTTAAAAAAAAGCTCTTTTTTAATATAAACTCATATCCAATTGGTTTGTATATATATATATATATATATATATATATATATATATATATATATAGAAACAGGATCCGTTTATAAACTTTTTTTGCAATTACACTAATGTAGGACCGGTCGTACACTGTATGATTAATGTAGGACCGGTCTTACATAGTGTAGTTTGTAAGAGTTTGTAAACAAAAAAGTTTGTAAATATAACCTGCCTCATATATATATATATATATATATATATATATATATATATATATATAGGCAGGATCATTTGACACCGGTGTCAAATTTGAAGTTTGACACCTTATCTAAGAGCCGGTAGATCAAAAAAGATCAACGACTCTGAATTGTAAGCATGTGACACCATTGATATTTTTTGATCTAACGGCTCTTAGATGAGTTGTCAAACTTCAAATTTGACACCGGTGTCAAAGGATCCCACCTCATATATATATATATATATATATATATATATATATATATATATATATATATATATAGGAAAAGTGTTTGTCATTTTAAATGACATAAAGTTATGTCATTTTAAGAGAGAGATAGACACAGAATAAATTTTTTGATTTAAATTTTAAATTAAAAAAAAAACCTTTCACTTTCTCTCTCATGATTTCTATTTTCTGTGTCTATCTCTCTCCTAAAATGACATAACTTATGTCATTTAAAATGACAAATACTAAGCTCATATATATATATATATATATATATATATATTTGTAAATCCTATTCCGGGGGAGGATTCAACTGATTTTGTGCCTTCAAAGATAAAATATGATGATTTCCCAGTAATCACTAGCTATTTCAAGTGATAAGAGGCCTATTCCCATTAATTAAAAGCCACAAATTTGAGGCTTCAAAATGAAAAAAAAAAAAATTGATTTTACTAGAGTTCCCCCTAATGTGTGGGTCGAAACTGAACTCGGATTAGTTTAATGTCTGGTGAATTGGTAAGAAAATAATTTTTTTTTTTTAAAAATAGAAAGAGAATAGAATGATCGTCCAATCCAAGTTGTAAGTGCGGGTGAAGGGGTTATTCTATCCTCTTGTAACTTTCTCGTTTAGTAGATATATTATGTGTTTTTTTAAGGGAAGAGAAATTTAAAATTCAAATTACGAAATTATTAATTATCAAAGTTAATTTAAAAAAACAGACATTTTTAATATAATTTAAATTTACGTAAATGCTAATTTAAATAAATATTTATATATTTTACATAACGATTAATGTAAAAATTCAAAAATTGTCAATTGATTTAAAAAATTTAATATAAATTAATTGTTATTGAATATTTTTAAACTCTAATTATATAAATAAATGAAGAATATGCTAACTAAAGGAGTAGCTCAAATAAATTGTAGTCCGTGGGCTAACATTTTGCCGACCCAAATTACACTTAACTCACTACAGACGCGAAATTATAACGCCACAATAAAGCTCATATGGAGTGAATGGATAAGCTGGAAATAAACTTGATTCAATAAAAAAGGGTCTTTACATTGTTTTTTGAACTGAAATTCGGGAAATAAAGTTTTATTTTAGGGAAATGTACATAGAATGTTACATGATAGAAAAAGATTTTCCTGCACATACATTGAGTTTCAGGCCTATTCATTTTTATTTTTTTGTTTTTTTAAAAATTTGTGAACCCCACAGAATATCTACATGTAGGAAATTTTGATCTTATCCTATAACTCTCTTTATTTTATAGTTAAAAAATACAGTGGCAATGTAAGTAATTCGATCTATTTTGCCTCGCTCCTTGTTCAATTCGTTATAAAATGAGTCAATTTGTCCTTATCCACTCTTGAAAGTGGGTTAAAAATTTAATTCACTCGATGTTATGAGTGAACATAAATATTATTCCTAACATACACATGTACCGATTGTGGCAGCAAACATGGTCAAGGCATCACCTTCGGTACCCGTGATCATGATACAATAACGAGTTACTGGTCTCTTTGGTTTTCATGTTTCTTACAAGAAGGCGTGGAAGGCAAAACAGAAAGCAATCGCTAAGATTTACGGTGATTGGGATGAGTCATATGCATTCTTGCCAAGATGGTTCATGCACATGGTTATATTTTCCTCGGGATTTTTTTATCATATTCAAGATGAATTGTATGTCATCAATCGACAGGTTGTTAATGGGGTTTGGGTTTTTCAACGTGTTTTTTGTGGTTCCACCATGTCCCATAGGGGTGTGGTTATATGCATGTTGTGTTACATGCTTTGAATATTCGAAATGTTGTTGAGCTTTATGTGTAATGGCTTTTAATATGCATGTGTTGTTTCATCTTGACGATAAGCCTGAGTATGTGGCGTCATACGATATGGTGATCCGGGGTGAATGCAAGTGGCGTCTTGCACTATGTGTGGGTATTTGGCGTATATAAATCCTGCATTTCTCTGGCCAGTAGAATAGAATTGACACACATGACATGATTATCTGCTGCATTGCACTATTTTAGAAATGATGTTGATGAACTGTTTTTAAACTTATATTGCACATGTAAGTGAGCTTGGGGTGGAAGATCCTTGAGGACCCCTTGTTTTACTGAGATTTCTTATTTAGAGATCTCACCCCACGTTTGGGGAATGCTTATTTCAGGTTCAGGTAGTATGGTGACTGATGCCTCTGGCGGCAGGAGGCCAGAGCTTAGCTGATTATGATATTATGTTGTATTGCTGCCATGGCTGAATTTGGATGCTGTTTATGTTTCCCGTTATTTATGATTATGTTCTTGTTGAGACTGATGTTGGGCTTGTTGTCTTTTTGAGTGAGCATGGGGATTGTCCATGACACTTTATGTTAGTACTTTTAGATTAGAGTTGTATAACCTGCTAGTTGGTCTGGCCTACTTGTGGTAGTCCCGTGCTTCTAGAGACACACTTATTTTATCTATGTTATGAGGTATTTCAGTTAGCTGTTTTATTGCAATTACATTCAGGCGATGTTTTATTAATTGATTAATAAGCAAGTTGGTAATGATAATGACATCATAATTGGAAAGAAAAAGATAT